ACTTCACAGGCCACTCTATATGGGAAGCATCCAGAGTGAAGGGTCTGCTGGTTTGAGCTGCAGTGGAAAAGAGAGTAACCTAGAAAATTATGATATCAATATGAATTTTCATAAAGGGTTTTTCCCACAGCCCTGGTGGAGTTTTAGAGGAAATCTGAGCAGAAGGGACTAGTATGAATGAATCAACAGCTGAGTTCTCCATCTCCTTTCTAACCAAAGTCAAGAGAAGTTTCTCCATCTTTAGCTTCCTCTGTCTTCCAGGCAATTTTGCAGGCAATTTGTCATCTCACACTTTGGGATCTGCAGCTTCCTAGTTTGTTATGATTTTTCTGTTATTACCACTCTCTGCTGCGGCAGTTTTCTGGACCCTCAAGTGTAAATGTAAGACCCTGCAGTAGTCAGCTTTTAAGCCAGGATGGTGCAAGCTGTGCCACTGCTCACCCCTCAATGCCAGGTAAGCTAGCCAGACTATGGAAATAAACTTGGCAACGCCATAACCCCGTTCTGGCAATGTGAGGCAAAATAAACACAATAACTAGCTGACAACTGGATTCAAACAAAATATGTGTGCTCAGAACTGCATGGATGACTCAAATGCTGCAGCCAGGCGTTCCCTCATGTCTGGCGGCACCCCAGCGATGTTCCTCTCCCTCTGGCTGTAGTTGCTACAGCAGGCTGATGTATTGCGTTTACATTTTTGACAGGTTATGATGTAAAGAAGGCCCCTTCATCAGCCGGGGAGGGAGCAGGGCTGAGAGAGCCTGGCTGACCTTTTAATTCAGCTCCTGCTGCCTCTTCTCATACACTCACATCCTCCTGCCTCTGCAGAGTAAGTGCCAAAATATTTGTCCTGGATCCTGCAGCCTCCTCACCCTGTCTTCACACTTTGCTTTTAAGGCCATGAGAGGTGGGGTGAATGTTCAGTCCCTTCAGATGGAAAATACACACCCTGCAGCTCCAAGTACATCTTTAAAAAAAGTATTCTCATCCTGTGCCATGGTATTACATGTTGCACATAGAGAACAGCCCCTGTGCCCCCTCCCTGTGCACCAAATCCTGCACAGAGTGGTAAGGGGCTAGGTGGGCAGCAGTCACTGCACCCACAGGCAGTGAGCGATGGCTGGGCTGAGAATGTTGTTACTCTGTTAAATGGGAGTTTTACTGTTGTCCTTGGTGAGAAATGAATTATTCACTTCAGCAGGCACAGAGTTAGATTGTAGCCTGAATAAATACTGTATGCATCCCCCATGAGGTTTTCTCTTCACTGTATTCTCTAATTTCTTTCATACATGATAAATACTTGGATTTGTTGCTTTCCCTTATTATGCATTTGCTAGTTGGGCTTTCAAGCCCAAAGGCCTTCACTTTGAATAGAAATGCAGATTTTGGTGTTTTCTCTGTTTAAGCAAGGAAAGCAAGGTGACTGGAGAATGCTTTATCTCTGACCTATTTCTATGCTCAGTATATTTTCACCCCCCCAAGACACGGGAACTTGTCCCAAATCCTGGGGCTGCTTTCTGCTTCCAGTTCTCTCTCCTCTGGGGGAAAAGCTTCCCGGGGGACTGGCAGCATGGGTTGGCTCTTTCCTCTGTGTTTCTGCCTCTTTAGGGTAAGTTTTGCTCCCTGTGAACTGTAAGAAAAACACCATTATCAGGGTAGGTGCATTCGCATGTATTTAACACTGAAAGGGAATCTCAGGAACAGATGCATAAGGCAATGTGTGTTTTTGAGTCCTAATTAGGCTGAACTCTGTGATTGTGAGATGCATTTCTGACCTTTTTTTTTTAATTATTATTTTTTAATTAAAGCAATAACCCCTCTTTTATCAGGGCTGAGCTAAACCCCAAGTGGAAAGGTGAGGGAAGGAAGAATAATTAATGATGATGACCTCATAGCAGCCTTCCAGTATCTGAAGGGGGCCTATAGGGATGCTGGGGAGGGACTCTTCATTAGGGACTGCAGTGACAGGACAAGGGGTAATGAGTTCAAACTCAAACAGGGGAAGTTTAGATTGGATATAAGGAGGAAATTCTTTCCTGTTAGGGTGGTGAGGCACTGGAATGGGTTGCCCAGGGAGACTGTGAATGCTCCAACCCTGGCGGTGTCAAGTCCAGGTTGGATGATGCCTTGGGTGGCTTCTGTGGGGATGGATATTCCATTAAGAGTATTATTACTCTTAATATTTCTTTCTGTAACCATAGGGCCTTGGGAGGGCTGGGCTGTGCATTGAAAAGGGGAGCCCGATGACAGACAAGCTCTCCAGCAGGATCAAACATTTGGGTGAACCAGGCACCCAGCTTGCAAAAACTGGGGACAGCAGAAAATCTGGGGTTTGGGTGAAATCTCATCTGGACTCCAGCGTTTGTGGCCATAAAGAGCAGGCAGCGGTGCAGGTAATACAGGTCCTTAAGGCTTAGACAGGACACCAGTGGGGGCAGCTCTGAAATCCACGATACAGTATTTGAAGAGAGGATTTGCACAATTTTAAGGCAGCTCACCTTCCTTCTGCCCAGCATGGTGCCTCCACACTGCCTAGCGCTGGCTCTGCAGGGGCACAGAGTACATAGGAGCAGAGATGGCATTGGTAGTGTCACACGTGGACACTATGTGCCACCGCAGCAACATGCAGGGTTAACTCAGCTCCCTCTGCCCAGCCTGGCTAGATGGTTTTCACTACACAATAGCATGAGAAAGGCATCTCTCGGGAGCTGAGCCAGTCTGTGAAGGGGGAAGTGTTATTTAGGATAAGGAGATACAGGGGGGTGACACAGCTTTATTGTACCTCATAAAAATAAAGCCAGGAGAGATAAAAACAACACTTCCATTTGAAAAGAGGGAGGAATAAGCCAGATAAAAGATATTAATTTTTCCTCTAAGACAGACTACTAAATAGGCTCTTCTTGTTCACTGAGGTTCAGTAATGCAAGTTGACAGGATATTAAGGTTATTTCAGGTTCTTCTGTCTCCCAGGGTCATAAGCCTTCTGCTATGCATGTTAATTCATCTTAGCATTCCTCTGAGTAGCTACATAAGTAGGGCAATCGGTTTAGTATGTACTCTTTCCATTTACAGCGTAGTTGTGAGGAGAAAACTACTAATTAACAGAATACCCCTAGAAAATCAGGAGAGATTTTAATATCACAGAGACAACCCACAATGTTCTCTGGTTAAGGAAAGACAAACCTTCCTCAGAAATATTTCAGGGGTGAGAGAGGGAGGCGACCTATGACAGAAAGAACCAAGAGGCATTTATCCCCCAGCCCTTCTTTACCCATCTTTTCCCGTGGACAGCTGGGTGACGCCACACATGACTGGTGAGCCACATCTCTGAACGACTGAAGAGAAAACAAGAGCCTGAGTCTCATTGCATCTCCCTGCAAGCACAGGCTTCCCTCCCAGGCAGCAGCTGAACAGTTACTGTCCTTGGTGCATGGAGGGTGCTTGTGCGTTGTGCATCATGCCATGGACTGGTTAACCCCCTTGTGCTGTGGCAGCATCTGACCAAACTGTACATCCCCAGTGCATGGTGTGCTACATGCATGAGCATATTCACCTTTTTTGCAGGTCGTTTGAAACCTGATCAGCTTTCAAGCAGATGCTACAATGACATCAATGACTAATGTTAAAAATAATAGCACTCGTTTTGAGCCTGATGTGTTGAAAATAACCACCCTGAAATTCTCCACTCTCACCTTGTTCAGTGTGATTCACTCCAAGTTCCCAAGCGCTTTCCATATTACCTAATACTGCCTGTAAACTGTGCATCTATTTTAATGACTGCGCTTGTTCTGGGGAGCACCAGAGCACAAGGCAATGGGTGAGAGGGGCTCCCTCCTTCTCAGCTGTTGCAGTGATAGGTCCACTGAGACTAAGCATACCAGTATTCAATTAAAATGAATTAGTAAAAAAGTAATTTTAAAACCACTTCTAAATATTTTGCTTTGATTTGGCCTTTAACAAAATGTTGTTTTTTTTTTTTAAATTTCTGTAAGAAATGGAAAATATTTGCCCTGGCCTCAGGTTTTGCTGGAGATTTTAAGCAGGCAGCTGCTCAGAGTTATGTTCTTAACTCTTCCATTAGCAACGGGAATTCACTCCTGCTCTGTAGCTGGGAGATGGAGTTTTGCCTAACCCTGGTTAATCTGTAGTTTCTGCAGAGACCACTTGCACATTAAGAAAACAGATGCAGATTATTTTAAAGGCTGACACACACAGTGAGTTAAGTAATTTCACCTTTTAGGATGGAATTTTTTTTTTGAGAGACAGAAGACACTTCAAAGCTAATACCCTACTCCTGGGAAAAGGTCCTAGATCAAAAAGCCTCCTGATCTACAGCCTGCAGATGTCAATGGGAATAACCCCACTGGCTTTAATGGACTATGAATCAGGTCTTGATATGTGAACATCCTGTTGCACCTACAAGGTGCAGTAGCTTTCCTAAACAATTTGTTGTCAGAGATATTACAGGTAGACTTTGTCTCACAGGCAGTGGCTTCCCTAAGAATAAGGAAGAATTGGGAAGAGGACAGTAACTGGGTTCAGAGTTCTCCATAACATCACCAAAATCAGCAGTGCTGCAGGGCTGCCCCTGGCCATCCTGGGCACAGCACAGCCTCAAGCTGCCTGAGCCCAGGGAGGTTCTACTCCTAAGCAGATGATGAAGAATCGTAACATTTTCTACATCTTCACTAGCAGAAGCTAGAACGTAGCATAGGCTGTTTAGTACACCAGAGAGGACAGGTGGAAATCTGATAAGCGTATTTATAGATAAGAAGCAAGATCTTTTTTTCAGTTAGTGAGATGAAAACATCTCTCTTTTCTCATCCATTGCCAGACCTGAGTTAGGTATCACAGACTGTAACCTCGCTTTGCAAAGAGCTGTGCCTCTACTGGCACTGGGCCTGCCACCGCAGAGCTGCTGTCAGCTGGGGAGCCTGCTCAACTCATTACAGAGAAAACATCTACAGGAAAAAAGAAATAAATAATACCATGTTTCAAGCTTTGAGTGACGTCAGTCGTGTTTTTGCTAACGGGTGAAATATCTGAAATTCAGGGACTGAGAGTATGCAATGCGCCAGACATCCTGGACATCCAAACGACAGAACTCTGCCTTATGGAAAGCACCAGAGATATCTGTATTCCACCAGGTCTTTCTTGAGGTCTTCTGAACTGATGAGAACAAGCTCTGCTACCAGGGGATGGTCCCAGCCTACTTCAGATGCACCGAGCTGGATGCCTTCCCATGCCATTCACTCTGCTGGCTGGCCAGGCTGAATTTGCAGCAGAGACTTGCTGACTGTCGCTTCTCATCACTCAGCCAAAAAGACTGGAAAATACAGATGGTCTAGCTTAGGAAAGCCTGGTTAGTATTTCATGTCCTTTCCTATTCTGGGGAAACCAAAAGAAAAAAAATCATTTACAAAAGATGACTGTATCCTATCTATTAACAAGATAAAATTAATCAGTTATTCATGGAATGACTCCAGTGATTTCGAATTGATGAGCATAGGATGAGTTGGTCTCAAAAACCAAAATGCCATTCAGCCAATGGAGTAAGTAAAACAATAAATGATTGCACATTTAGAACAATCAATAAGGCATTTACAAAATATTACATGATCCAAGATTAATTAGGGATGAAAAATTCCCCCAAAGAATAAAACACAGGACAAATAAAATCTAAACGAGAATCAAGTTAACAACTTGCAAGAAGAACTGTCAGCACTTAGTGCTCCAACATCCCATGTTGCTCCAGTCAAAGATCACAGAAACAATGTGAGCATCTCCGAGATGGATATGTGTGTCATGATAAGTGATATAAACATCGATGGGTATCTGTCAGGAGGTTGAGAGGTGAAGAAAAAGCCAAAGAAGCAGGAGCCTGCCTGGGTGATGGGGTTTTACTGTTCTGTCAGCAGAGCTGTGTGTTGGGGTTGCAACTGCCTGCAGCCATCTGCGTCTTGGCAGAGCTCGGAATAAGGGCAGCACCAGGAAAAACGTCCCAGGTTAATTCAAGACCTGGAAATCTTCCTTTAGCATCCAAAGGAGGGCAGGAGGTCCCTCACCCAGCACTGCTCCCTGGCACTCAGCCATGGCCAAATGGAGCACTTCCAGCCCCCACATCTCCTCCCTGATCAGCTGGGGCACCAGGAGAGGAAAGGTCCCCACAGCCGTGTGGCCTGTACCAGTCTCACGTGATGGATATACAAAAGCTCATGCGCTTCATCACCTCCTCCCTTACCTCAGGTCAGCTGAGTCATTGTAAAAGCGTGTGCTTTTAATCTTATCAAGGAGTGCTGAAATATTTTAGCTTAAACCTCATGCGTGGAGGTTTCAAGAGATTGCACTGTCTCATCTGGCCAGCAGCATCCCTACGCAGGTCCCACTGCCCGGCTGATGGGTGGTGACCTGAGGGATTGCTCTGTGAACTCAGCCTGTCCACCTCATCGCTGCCTGATTAACCCACAGCCATTTTCTTTCTTTATTTTTCAGCCTAGGTAGAGAAATTATGTAACTTTTTATATCAGGTTACTTGGGATGTGGATACATAAAAGGCCTTGAGAGTTTGTGTACTCGGCTGCTGGTTTGAGGAACTTGAAGGTGCTGGTGCAGACTGGTGTTTTCCTTAGCAGCAAATTGGTCTGTCCTCTGGGACCCTAAACTGGACTGAAATGACGGGGCTGGTCTGATGCACAGCTCCAAAAGAATTTTGTTATATCTCAACTGAGAATGAGATGCCATCAAGTTGCATGTAGCAAATCACTTTATATTAGCACAGTTTAAAGCCACACTGTGGTGTCCTCATTTTATTGTCAGTACTGCCTGTTTTTAACCCAGTATCACCATTTCAGCCGTATAATTCAAGGACTAAAGTGCATGAGCTCACCCTGGACAGGAATCCCCCAGCCCCAAGCACAGTACATTGTGGTCTGTAGCAGCCTGCGCAGAGTCTTTTTTCCCTAAAAGCTTTACATTCACATTTTCCCTGCAGCTGTGAGTGGTGTGAGTCCTCCTGTTCCCCCTGCAGCCTGTGAGCTGCCATCCCCAACTGTCTGACCCAGACGCAGTGACTACAACATGGGTGGCTGCTCCTTCTCACACCAGAGAGATGACTTAAATCGTCTTGGGCTTGCATGTGAGTCTATTTATTTTAATGCAGTGAAGCTTGTTAATTCTCTAGACAGTATGTAAGGACTAAGGGCCAAAACCTGTGCTGATGTATAGCTTTCACTATCAGATTTATAACTTAGTGCAAGGGAGCTGGAGAAATGTAAGCCAGGGCAGAAGACTGTGAAGAAGCTGCACCATGCTCTTATCCACACAGCATTAAATTTACAAGGTAGGTTAAAATCATGGAACATGTTTGACCTCATTTTGTTTGGTTTGCCTGCAAGATTTGGTCTTTATTCCATCTTTTTGCTCCTGGGAACCATGTGGCCAAAGGGAGATCCATAGCAAGTGCAGAGACTGCACTTTCTGTACTTTTGAAAGACACGATGATGTGAAATGGGAATTAAACCATTTTCAGAGCACAGCCAGATCAGAGGCAAACCAAAGGAGATGCCAGCTCTTCTCACTGATTTCAGCTTGGCTCCCCTAAGACTGGCAGTGCAGGAAGGTCACATGCAAGAAACGGGTGCATTAGACCAGAATTTCTTGAGCCAGAGCTTTTCTTGCACCTGGGTCCCACAGGACACACTCTCTGCTCAGCTTTTGCTTGTGTTCATCACCATCTTCCCAGCATGCAGCTTGCTCTGGGTGTATTGTTGCAGATGCAGCTGCGCCTCTGGCTGCCTGTCAAAACAGAGGGGGAGGTGAGGGCTCCTCAACCCTGCAGCAGTGATTTACAGATGTAAATTAGATACTGTAACCAAGAATAGGAGCTCAAAGTGGGACAGATCTCCTTCAGGTTTTCTGTTTACTTATTCACCAAGGTCATGCCCCAGTTCCTCATCACCATCTGGTCATGCCCCAGTTCCTCGTCACCATCTGGTTACACTATGACCCTCTGGTCTCATGTCTGCAGCAGCCAGACTCTTGGCACAGGGAGGAGTTAAGGTTACTAATTGGCCTTTCCCTTGTCCAGCCACTACCTCTGACGTTTAAGAGAGCTGGGAGGGCTGAGGTTTCTCTACGTTCTAGCATTTCTTTGAGGGCATGGCTGCCACCAACATGCAGACAGGATGGCATGCAGCCCCATGGGGGAGCACACAGATGCTCCCAGAGCTCAGGGTAAAGCCTGACATTTTGGGTCATTTTGACAAACCAGGGCTTTCTGGCATAAACCAAACAAGTGATGCAAAGCTGACTGAAGGGCAGCAAGACATAAGGTAGAGTAGCCCCAGGACATCCTAACCAACACGTCAGCCTGGGGAGGACAGTGCCACTGGGCAGCCCCATCCCCTAGGGCTCCTGCAAGGCAATGCTGCACTGACCACTGTATTTTGACCAATCCTTGAAAGGCATTTATTCTCCTTTTCCCATACCTCTTACATTTATTTTTTTTTTTCAGTCTTGGGACAAAAGTCATTGTTCAAAATAAGCTTTTAAATCTGGTTGTGGTAGTTGGTGAAACATGCTTTAGAGCATTTGCTACGCTGGAGACCTCTACATGAAGGATGCCCTAACTAGCCTTACCACTAGTGAAAAAGCTTCCCAAGTCCAGTAGTAAATTCACACACAAAATCAGTTTTCGGATACAGTAGGGAACCCATTCAGCTTTGTGTGGTTAGGCAAGCTGATACAAATGCCTTATTAATTAGAAAATCAATCATGCTCTCCAGCTGATTGATGTTAATTCTACATTGAAAGGGGGAACAATAGTATAATCAAGACTAGACCATGTCTTCCCATTAAAGAGAAAGGAACAAGACTGCATTTCAAAGTAATTCTGCTGTAATGAGCTGCAAGGATGTACACATTGCGGTAAGGACTCTTTTAAGAAGTGGCATATTATTTTGATCAATAATACTCAGATTCATTCTGGATCCTGATTCTACGGAAATTTCATATGAAGATTAAAGGATATTATAATATGATCAGAGGTGATCGCAAAGGAGAAGAGCTGTAATTATCCAACGTGCAGCATTAATAAATAGGAAAGAGCCCAAACACTGTGAAATCAGGAGAGGACAAGAACACGCTAAGAGAGCTTAAAGTGTTTCAGGGCATGCAGCTAAGGCCTCAAAGCTATAAAAAAATCTACTTTTTAAGAAATTGATAACAGTTCAAAACCCTATTGTTAAGCAGTTGAATGATGATTAAAGAATCCAACAGAATCTTCACCTGTTCCACATTATTTGCAGTCAGCCCTGCCAGCATGAGGACTGGTAGCAAATAGTGCTAACAACCATATGCATACCATCCCAAAACACTGTGGCTGGCCAAAACCTTTTGAAAATACATGCAAGAATCATGCTAAATGACTAGAAGATGACTGGAATACAATCCTTTCAACATGAGCCAAGCTATGAAGAAGAAATAGCTTATTACCATGCAAAACCATGTTGTCTTGGTTCCAGGATAATTGTTGTATAGCATACCCTATATAACGCAAGACAAAGGCCCAAGGCTTGTAAGCCAAGTAAAATGCAAATTACACCATTGACAGAGCTGAAGGCTCTATGCAACTTTAATCAAGGGGGGTACAGTGTACTTGTGAGACAAATGAGCAGGGTAGTTATATCAGAAAGAGCTCTCTAATATGCAACCTGACTAATAGGCTTGAACACGGGTAAGAAAATACTCACCTTGACCACCAAAGGCTAAGGATATTCACACTTGCAAAAAAAACCACCGTGATCATTCTGTGCCAATGGAATTTAGCATTTCTTTTTATAGTTCATGGAAATGCTCCACACTCCAGGGGCTGTTTGTTTTCTTTCCCATCTTCATCACTGTTTGTAGTATAAGAGCATGCTGAAAATTCAACAAGACTTTGGACCCCGTGGACCAAAACCACTCACAAATATATTCCTGCCCTGAAGAATTACCACTTTAAATAGACATAGTGGACAACAGGCTGATACATACTAGTACCAGAGGCTGGGAGTTATTAGATCGAGGGCCCATGTTAACCTGAAGTTCTGGTCTCCAAAGCAGAGGATTCCAGCCTATGGTCAGTAGGTGAGACCTACCTCTGGGCCACCCAGAACAACTGGCAAAGCTCCTGACCTGCTGTGCCATTTGGGCTGCTGGCCTTTGATGGTGGATGACCTGTCTTCCCAGGGATTTAGGCATCCCTCCAAAATATTTTAAGGAGGTTGGAGATGAACAGGTCATCCTCTTGGTGTGAGGAACAGGTGTTGTAGGAAGGAGAGGAGGCGTGAGGTGAACCAGTGAAAGAGAACAGAAGAACCAAAAACTAGGACCATACAGTGAGGCTTCTG